TTTAATAATCCGAAGTTGACATTAGATGGGAAGAACCCGTTTAATTTTGCATCTGTGTATGATTTATATGGCTATAATCCTTTTCCTATGACCCTATGCTGGTATATGGGGAACAAGATTTTAATCCTTAGCCTTTATTATGCAGGCCAAACCATCCCAACACCTTGTACAAAGAAGACTCGCTCAATCAATGGGTTGGGTACCGAACGTGAAAAACCCGTCATTGGATTCGGATATGGATTGTGCCCGTCTGTGTGCCCTGCTGTCTGGGATGAGCGGGAGCGTTGGCAACAAACCATTGCAAAGCAAATCCCTTGTCAGATCTTGCACGTTGCGTTAATGTTCTGATTTTGTTGCTGATGCCGCGTATCCCTTTGCCATGAGGACAGGCATGTCAAAAACATAGAAAACGCTGTTGGGAAAGGTCAAAGCTGTTGCCAGGTAGTCATTATCGCGGAGGAACGGCAGCATGAGGTACATTTTGGTGTTTGGTTGAGGCCGGTGTACCTTGCGGAAGCGGGGCTTGGGCTGATTCCTTTGGTTTCTGTGGTAGTACAACTTAAGTACTGGAACGGCCGTTCCCGGCGACTTGATGGATTTTCACTCTGTGGTAGTACAACTTTAGTACTGGAACTGACGTTTTCGGCGAGTTGATGGATTTTCGTTCTCTGGTAGGACAACTTTAGGAAAGGGATGGCCGTTCTCGGCGACTTGATGGATTTTCGTTCCCTGGTAGTACAACTGAAGTACTGGGACGGCAGTTCCCGGCGATTTGATGGATTTTCTTTGCTGTCTCCTAAGCCGAGCATTTGACTGGGGAAGTAGGTTCAGAAACGCGCAAAGCAGAGCATAACATCAGCACTTGAAAATCCAGCGTTTACATGGGGAAGTGGCTTCCGAAATATAGGTGAAACCGACAAAATGTTTGCAAATGGTGTGTCGCGAGGCAGCGTTTACTTGGGGGAAAGGATCAAGGCCTGACTTCTGTCTGACTTTCTGACATTTTTCGGGGTTGCGTTTGCCTGGGCGTTGCCTACAATTTGAAGATTAAGGCCTGATTTTATCCTTTGGGTGTATCATGTTCTATCATTTTCCTATCATTTTAATGTTCATTTTTTATACGTTGAATCATTTTCTGTTTTTCATGTGTTTTTCATAGTTCTCATCATGTTCTATTTACCATGTTCATCATTTTTATGATTTTCCACAATTTTTCTATCATCTTCATGATTTGCATCATTTGTCGCAATTGCTAATCATTTCAATCGTTTTTCTCATCTTACATCATTTTCTATCTCATCCGTCTTCACTTTTGCTTCAGAATCGCGCTCTCGTGTGAGGCGTCCCTCGATTCCAGGCCTCCAGCCCCCATAAAATAGTCACAAACAAGAAAAAGCGTACCAGAAAAAACTCCACACCTTCAAATCTGGCAGGCATTTGAAAACAGCAAAAAGGCGATAAAGCCACAGGGAACACTAGCAAGCCTGCCGCAGGATAACCTCAACACAAAGCAGGAGAGGGAGGAGCTGCTACAACTGCAACGGCAGTGGAGACAATTGGAAGCGCAAACGAGGGTTGGAGAACCTACGAAGAATTGTAGGCAGCATGCCGCCGGTGCTTCTTGAAACCCGGGGATCCCAATCGCCACAGTGTACTCGCTGATCAGGCACCAGACCCGTCAGATGCCTTGCTCAGGTTGCGAATAGAGCTCAGGAAAAGGCCTAAAGAAATCCCCAGGCAGGAAACAACAGAAGATGGAAGCAGGAGTGACGCGCAATCACAAAGGAGGAAAGAAGAGAGTGGAGAGGGTGAGGAAGAGGAGAAGCAAGAGGAACACAGAGCAAAGGGAAAGGAATTGGAAAGGGAAGAGGAAAGTGAGGGAATGCGAAGTACGCAAAAAGATGAGGAAGAAGAGAAGGAGACTTAGAAATCGGGAGAAGCGACACAAGCAAGATACCAGAAGATGGGAGAAAGACGGGTAAGGATGGTAGGAGAGAGAAATGGAGAGCTCCCACGGAAGAAGGGGCGACAAGCTTTCGGGAGCACGAAAAGGAAATGGAGGAACAAGAAGCCATGTATGGGGAGCACGTTGAATACAATCATTGAATACAATCACCTACCAGATGAAATAGAAGATACGGGGCGCGTCCCGTGGTGGGAAGGGAAAAGGGAAGAGGAAGTAGAAGAAAGGATGAGGAAGACATGAGAAGAAGGACGAGCATCAGGAGGCAATTGGGGAGAATGATGGCTCGAGCTACCTGCATTGAAGAAGACAAACCGATGGAGAGAGAATGTGGGCTCAGATTACAAGTCGGGGAAAGGTATGAACGGCGAGATCTACTGAGGGATGCACGTAAGGTCTATGAAATGTGGGGAAGTAATCAAGTTGGCTCCGAGGCTGAATATGAAATGAAGCCGGGCCTACTGCTTCATCATGAACATCTTCAAAGGAAGACACCTACTATCAGGGACCGGAATTAGAATCGGGAAAATGTATCACAATGGCAAAGCACCGAACTCCACAGCAACCCGGCCAATGGGCACAAGACTCACACCCGAAAAATTGAAAGAAGAAAAGAAGGAAACAATTTTAACCCACGGTGAGTGCAAACCCAATGCGTTAGCAGTTAAGCTAGTTATCCCAGATGCGGTGTGCCATATAGTAGACACAGACTCAATGTTTTCCATGGCAGGGACCTGTCAGTCGGGAGCAGTAATGTGTCTGTGTTACTTCGTATGTATCGGAATAGGAGCCCAAGTTGTTGCCGCATGGCTGGTTTTACATGGCATGAAACACACTGGGCATTCTGTTTCACGTGCTTTGTGTGCACCCTGCCGTCCCTCGCAAACAAGAAGTGGAGTAGTCGATAGCTCCTACGAGTTTTTGTGTAAGGGACTCGTTACATCATCGGAGAGGGAAGAGGCGACCAGCGACCCTGTGACATGCCAGCAGAGCGAGCACAGGGAATGAGGATGCAGGCAAGTGGCAAAGTTACTATGTATGGGTAGGTATGATCCTGGGGGTGTAAAGTCCGACATATGAATGGGAACCAGGTGAAGGAGATGATGTATCACCACCCACTTGAGAAGGGAGGAGACTCATTTGAGCGACCGCTTTTATTATCGTGTAGGAGCCAAGAGCAGGCAGAGATAAAATTCAGGGACATGAGCAAAACCCTAGNNAAGCGATAGGGCCCCCCCCAAAAGCCATACCCCCAAAATGGAGACAACAGTGTGCAAAAACCCTGTAAAGCGATAGGCCCCCCCCCAAAAGCGATTTTTGACTTAGCTGTTTACTAATATTTTAGGTAGCTGCTCATTTTGGAATGGAATTACTTTGGTGGGGAGCAGTACCTGGTAACTTAGCCTTGAAAGTTTGAAGTGAAAGTTCCATTTGAAAGGGTGGCACTCCTTCCTGGGCAAGTCAGATCGCCGGATGGTGCGCGGGTTAGGGGCCTAGGAGGGTTTTGCAAAACCCATAGAAGAAGAAGAGAGCACAAGAGAGGCGGCGTCCTTTGCCAAACGCAAAAAGCAAAGCGCAGAGTGGAGAGGCGTTGGCCGAAGCACTTACTTGGTCAACTGCTCGTCAACAAACGCTGCATTTTGGTGACATGCATGGCGAAGACAGCCAGACTCTCACTTTCCTGCTGCTGCGACAACGCCTTTCGCGTAGGACGAGCTTCGAAACTTCTTCGAGGCTGCTGGAGAGGTGCAACTGCTGAACCGTTCCTTTACCAGCTTGCCTTGTTTTGAGAAGCTTAACGGCGAAGAAGCTTTCTGACATAAAAAGTGTTACACATCATTTGCTACAAAGCTACTGCTGGGCCGCATGATGTCTTCAAAAGATTCTAGCACCCACGCAGGTTGAGCGGCTCAAGGTCTTGCGAAACCCAGATGGCGGTTCCAAGGTCAGAGCGCCTGTTGAGACTTGATGGAGGTGAGTTACTTGCTAAGGTCCTCCAATTCAAAATTCCCTGCTTATCCAGGATGTGCAAATGTTGTGTGGCAATTTCTTTATGGTCAAGTTCGTTCGCCCAAAGCAAGTTATACATTATACGGATGCGAAGCTTCACGCGCAAATGTCTGAAGCGTCCAAGATGGATGAGAGATCTGTCTATGCCCCAAAACTTTAAAAAAAAACGTGTACAGCAAAATTACTGGGGCTCCTCGACCCCATCCCTCAGCCGCAACACAAGTCTCAGCATGTCTCAGCAGTGCTTTTTTTATGGCTGGAGTGCATTGTGACACTTTAGGTGCATATTTGTAAGACTCTTTTCCAGTACTGACACATGCCTGACAACTCTTCCGTCCTGCTGAACTCTTTGCCCTTTAATTGCTGTCCTGCATGGTGACTTGGGAGCCAGGGGATCGGCTTTGTGACGTTTCGCACGGAAGAACAGGCACAGAAGGCGTGTATGTAATGTCCCAGATGATGTAGACGATGCCCCTCTTCGACATGCAGGGTAGTGCCTGTTGCCCACAGGCCCTCAGCTTTCACAACAGAGCCTTTGAGGATGGCCACATCGTGGTGCGTTTGGCCCACGGAGGAGCCTTCATTTGCTCTCGGCTTCGCGAGAGGAAGCTCATAGCCTGGAAGGCAAAGGCAAAGGCGACCGAGAGAAAGGTGATAAGGGCGAAGGACGTGATGGACGAGGCTCATCCCTGTACTTGTCCAATGAACTCTCCATGAGCAAGAACTAACATGCATCCTGTTCACTTGTTGTGGAAGCAGCCAGATGAAAGGCAAGGCCCAGTGCCTTACCGCCAACTATCCAAGATTTGCCTGATTGTCAAGGTCAACGGGGAAACTTGCCATACGCGCGTTGTCCGACCAACCCGCCTTGTGGAAGTTTTCAAATAAAACGGCTCGCTTAGAAGGCCTTCCGCGAAAGGTCACGATGGTGTTCGCGAAAGGACATTTGGACTTCGCGAAGGAAGTATCCTAAGCCATAATTCCTTACATGCGGTCAAGTGCAGTGCCCGTTTTGCAATCCAATTGCTGGGAGGCTCCCTATATCACCCAGGGCGAAGCTTTTTACGAAATCCGTGTGCTACTGCAGGTGTTCCCTGGCCCCTAGACAATCTATGTCTGCGCACTTCTGGGAAAGCCTCGCAGAAAACAGGCATGCTCAAAGGTGAAAGGGTTGCAAGTCTTTCTGAAAAAATTTCTGAAGCACACGCTCAGCCTCAGAATTCTGACCCGAAAATCCGAGAAAGATCTGGGAATGGTCGCGTAAGCCGAGCAAAGCCCTAGCCTTGCAAGCTATTGTCTGGGCACTCCCGTCTCTAATCCCGCTAGTTCCTAGGGCAACCCTCCTATGCTTGTGACAGATTTTCCATCTTTCAAAGCTCATCCGCCCCATTTCACCTTCCCAGTATGCTTTGTGGTTTTGCAGGTTGGGTTTTTGCAGTTGAGGGCATGGGTCAAAGGTTCTTTTAAAAGTTCGATCAAGGCTTGGTTTCTGCTTCAAACTTGTTTCCGCGAAAGCTCGCAATGGTGTTCGCGAAAGGAATGTTGGATTTCCGCCAAGGGGTCGTTCTGTCATGAAGGAACTGTGGGCGATGCCCACAATATGTTAGACAGTTGACGCCCGGCTGGGGTACGCAACACATCCGACCACTGGCTGAGTTCTCCAAAATCAGACAAACAACCAAGCACCCTCAAACTGCAGGTCCTACATGTGCCACAAACATGGCCAGGGGATTTCCTAGACATATTCAGGTCCTGAGGCCGTATATTTATGCGTGTGTACGTCCGCGTGTATGTCTTGCGCTTTGGGTCTTAGGTTGGGTGAATGCCATCCTGCAAGTGAGTTCAGGGTCTTTGGCACGGCAGGAGATCATGGGAGATCAATTAGCTTTCAAAGTGTTATGAAGCAAGCCGCTGGCTTTGTTTTATGTTGTTTCCGCGATGAAAGCACCAACCTGGCGGCACGCAGCGTTAGCCTCACTAACAGCGGCAGTGAATCAACACAGCGGTGTAGCTGTTCGGAGGACAGTGCAGTCCAGAAGTGCAGGTGCCAATTTGGGTTCTCATCGCATCCCATTGATCCCCATCGCCCAGAAGACCTGAGATAAAGGGAAAGCATCCTTCCTCTCTAATTTGTTTGCTCCCACGTGAGCTGGCAACTTCAGACAGGAGGTACTACATGGCATTTGCTAGCATGTGATGATGGGATTTTCACGAAGGCGACTTCAATCGAGATCGCGATGGGCGAGACCGTGGCAAAGGGCGGGGCCGAGGAGGAGGCAGGCAGCTACATGATGTCTTTTTCAGCTCCTGTGCAAATGGGCAGCATGTGCATTGGAAGGAGGCAAAGGCAAATTGCCCATGGCTAACGTGGAGGAGCTACTAGAGTCGGCCGCGCACTCATTCTGCATGAAGATGAATGGTGACAAATGCACGTTGACGGCAATGAGTCCGGATCTGGCTTTGTTTTTTAGGGCTAGCTGTGGCTAAGCGTCTTGGACAAGTTCCGAGCCGTTGCCACACTTGTACTATTGAAGCTTCAAGGAAAGATGGCCTGTGGTGTACAGCGGTTTGATTGAGGCATTGGAAGGCTTTGCAGAGCCTGTGGAAGAAATCTACAAACCTTGGCCTTCAGGCTCCAAGAAGCTTGCAGGCAGGTCTATCGCCGGCACTAAGGCGAGGAGGCGTCCAAGTGGCTACAGCAGTGGGAGCAAGCAGTACTTGAGACCCATTGGCCACTTCTTGGGGTGAGGAACAGGTGCGAGATGTTCCTTTGCGGGGCGGGGCTTGCAACCGTCGGATGGCTGTTTGTCGGGCCTGGGAGAGCAGAACGCGCCGCATTTCGGCCAAAGGTTCCAAAACCTGGCCTGAGGCTTGCGGATGAGCATGATGTTGCATTGCGTAGAGCAAGCAGCTTGGGGTACCAACTCGTGCAGATGGGATGTGGTAAGATCGTTGCTTTGTCCACAGAGGCTCTCGCGAGTCAGGACGGCCCGCTCAAGGCCATGCTGTGAGAATGTCTTGCTTTAGACCTGCTTCTTGTTTGCCAAGACACAGCGGCAGTGAGTGTGAGCCAAGCAAAACACATGCCGAGGAAAAGCAGGACGCTCCAAGGTAGAACAGCAGCTGCATTCATTCTCGTGAGAGACAATTTTTTTGCATCCGGGACCAGGGTCCCGCCGTCAACGAGATAGGGCCGCAGATAGACCGAGATGGGCATGCTGTTGGTTCAAAACAAAGCCCAGATGCACGTTCCAGCATTGTCGAGCCCGTGGCGAACAAGATAGGGCCCGAGTCAAGGATTAGAAATTAGCATGTTTTCAGACCAAAAACAACAATCATTGCTTTGCTGAGCACAGAGTTCCGCGTGAAGAGTAACTGCGCATAACGAGGGCTGGTGAAGAATCCGGCATGGGAACTTTGCCGCACTAGAAAGCACCATGGGCAGTCCATTGGAAACGCACAGGATGATGGTCAGGAACAGCTGCCAGACAGGTCGCTGGGATATGAGAGCGAGATTCGGATCCAGGTCTGGCACACAGGACAAGAACTAGGGTAGCTAGGGCAAAGCCTGTTCAAGGAAACGGATCGCAAATCATGCATATATATATATATTGCAAAGTCGGGTCCAGACATTGCGTTCGGCACAGCGAGCGAGAGACAAAGAGAGAGACGTAGATGTGTGATAATTCAAGGTGACGCAGCATGTCGATAACTTGCACAAAGCTGAAGTGTGAAAAGGCAAACGACACCGACCGTTGGGGGGTGCGGTGCACAGCCCCACCTGGGAAACAAGGATCTCAACAGGCTGCTTCAGGCAAGACTCACGTTGTCAAGAGGACAGGGGGCTCTTCGAAAAAACCAGGAAAAGCAAACCTTCCTCTCTGCATATTTCCTTCATCGTATTCGGCTTGTTGTGTGGAGGGCCTTCAGGAGAGCGACGACAGCTCTCTGAACTGCCAGGTCAGCGACTTTGATTTCACAGCCAAAAAGTTTGTGGCTGAGCCCATGCCCCGATCCGTCGAGAAGCTTCCGTTGAAACCAGCAGAAATTCCTTGTGCTTTGAAAGGCTACACAACCGCGACCGTGCTGATGGTGGCTCTCGTTTCCAGGAGGCTTCCAGCATTGAGCATGCTTGGTGTGACTTTGTTTGTAAGGTTAGACCACAGTTCGTCAACGTGAGTTTAGAAGCTTGCCCTTGCCTGCCAGCTTCCCTCGACATGTTCAAAGCTTGTAGCCTCTTGTAGCAAAGACCGTTGTTTGGGATGGCTGTTGCCAATGTCAAAGGGGCACCCGCCACAGCAAGGCATGGCGGGTCTAAACATGTGAGCTTGTTCTAAAGGTCCGCGTCTTGAGGTTATACTTGGAGTGAACCTTTCAGATGGTTGGAGGGGCTCGCGAAAGTTTCGCGAAAGAAGAAGCTAAAGGTTTGCACTTTTCCGCCAAAGATATGCGACAGGAACGTCTTTTGGTATTGTCTACTTTGAGATCTTTGAGGCTCACCAGTATCACGTGCCCAACCTTCCAGCGAATCATTCTAGAGGTATTGAATCCTGATTGGGGGCTTGTCTTGTGATGGACCTCGCAACGGGCACACTCTTCACATCAGAACCCCAATGGCTTGTGCGTCTGCTCACTGCAAATTTCCGGCTGTTACCCCGTAATTGCGCACAAGTTTTTCGCAAAAGCCTTCGCGAAAGCTAAGGGCTGTCTCGAAGCCGGCGGCCCACGTAAGCACTGAAACGATTTTTCAACAATCGCCATGTGGACATTTAGCTCATGGTATGTCTGCTTATGCCGGAATGTTTGCCAACGAGTGCCATCACGCAACGTCACGGCACAGAGATTCAATGATGCACCGAACATAGACCCTCAACAGCATGCGCATGCCCACGTAGAATTTCAGCAGATTATGCCGCAGGCCATGGACATGATCGTGAAGTACACATCGTCCAAGGACCTGCCTGTATGCTCTGCAAGTAGGCATTGCACAGACTTCTGCTTCACATGGAGACAGGTGGACTTGCATAATTCCTTCCATGGATGGCTTTGCATTTCGGCACCTTACATTTCGGAAGGAGAGGAGTTCTGTGCGCAAATGGCCGGCGTATGTGTTCACGCTCTTGCAGAAGGCATCATGGAGCACTTAGCATTGCTGCGATTTCTCAGGATCTACCAGGTGAATGCTTTAAAGGGCCCCCGCTTATAGGCTGGCATCTGTTCTTCCAGCAGACGATGAGCTTTTCTGCTATCCATGTACCTTTGAAGCACGGTGCGGCAATTTCGCTTGGCCAGTTTGACCCCGCACTTGGTGAAGAGATGCGGGAACGAGATCAGGACTGGTGACTGCTGCACATGTTGCACATGGGACTACACAGCACAAACCCCCAAAAGTCAAGCCAACATCTCGACCACACCGAACCTGCAAAGCTTCAACAGGAGCGACGCCAAAAGGCCTGCTAGAAGGGAACTGCACACAAGTTCATGTCATGTCAGCATATGATAGTACAAGATCTTGGCATGTCAAGTTGTGCATGCTCTGAGCAGGGCTCCGGATTCCGTCGACCCCGCCCAAATCTCGAGGCACGCAGCGTAAGCCTAACAAAGACTGACAGCACATATCAATGTCAGTTGCGTTAGCCTCAAGTCAGCCGGACCTGCATCCCAAATCGACCCAGCATGCATTCAAGCCGGGCATGACTGCAGGAAGATGACGGTTGAACCGGCCGGGTGAGAGGCATGGTTTCCTTGAAGCATCTCAATTGGCCTTAGGCAAATGCAATGGAGCAGCGCTTCTCTCCCTCTTTGCGCGGCCAGCATGGCCAGAAGCCAGCTGGGATTGCGACAGCGCTTGCAAAGCAGCATTGCTGCACATGTACAATGCCGTTAGACACGGCAAGTTCCAGTTAATCCCATCCGAGAAAAGGTTCAGAAAGCGATTCTGCAGCGTGAGAAAGATGAACAATGCCCAGTAACAGTTTGCGGTTGCTCTTCGACAGCTCAAGTGTCAACTTTCGGGTGTATGGTATTTTGCGCAGAGCTTGCAGGCCTCTTTCACTGCTCATATGCTTCCACCGAATCCCAAATCCCAACCTTATCAGTGTCAAAGCCCACTAGCCTGATGTCAGGCCCCATGGTGTCACCATCTGCATGATCCTCAGCTAAGCCAAGCCTTCAAGATCCGGAGCATTCGAAAGCCACACCCACACACGCTCATGCTAGACGCTTTGACGAAAACCTGTTCGCAAAGCAGAACATCAACAATATCCCACACTGCACACTGCCAGGCATGTGGAGGACATGGGCGTTATGGGGGGTGCGGGGCGGGGCGGTGTGGGCAGGGGGGGTGCGGGCACTCATTGGAAGCCAATTAAATATTCCATCCATACTCCCAGACTGCAACGGCATGTGGAGGATACATAACTCCCATACTGTCAGGCAGGGCTGCGAGCGGTGTGTGTGTGTGTACCGTTCTAG